TTCTATTCTACTGCTATTACTTATTTAATTTTATTTTGCTGATCTATGAAAAGTAATTAGCTTTTATTGTTATTTAAGTGGTATATTTACCTCACCAAAGCCCTTGTTAGCAGTATTTTGATAAAAAGAGAATCCAAACACATTCAGAGACACTGGCCTTTGCTTGGGAACATAATCTAAAAATGTTAAGGGTAATCCTTAATTTTCTCACCTGTGAAGCTGTCCATATGGTGTAAGTTTTGCTGACAATACCAAGTCAGCAGTTTCAGTACATCCATTCCCTAACAGCTGAGTTCTACAGCTCACTTGCAAAACTGAGGGCAAGGGTTTACACCACGTACAGAAGAATGGCCTGGTGACTCCAAAAGAAATAACAAGCACTGTAATCAGTTTTCTGCAGCCAATTTCCTCCAAGAGGACATGAAGCAATTTCCATCCCATCTCCTCATAGATACTACCTGTCATTTGATGTTCAGCTCTGGAGAGCTGAAGGGATTCCAAGTTTGGAATCTCATAAACCCATGGGTCAGTTTGTGCAATATAATGTTTGACAAGAATCATTTTAATGAGCACATATCCTTAAGGTATGCCACATATTTAAAGTCAAAAGAGAATGTATTGCACAAGCTTATTACATGGAGCTTTTGTTGTACCAAGTGCAGCCAGCACTCTTGAAGTGCCTGTGTTTGTTTTTACTTAGGTTTACTTAAGATAAAGTCCCTCAGATGTTTGTTTTGAGGTAGTATCCTGGGTAGTATACCCTCTTGCAATTAAAATAAGCTTTGCCAGATGTTCTTAAGGAACAGAATCTTCTCCTCTTCTATAAAGCCATATATTCTTTACCAGGATTTTATTAATCCAACTTTTTGTATAGGAATTTTTATGTCTTTAATTTCTAGATTTTTTTTTGTGATGCAGATTCCATCAATTGTCTTTCCTTCAACAAAATCTTCAACTTTTGAAAGAATGTAAGCTTTAATTCAACAATGTAGTCTCACAAGATTATTCAGTCTTCTCATTAAAGATGAAGTAAAATCGACTGATTAGGCTTGAGAGAAAGGATGATTTTTTTTTATTATTATTTCATGCATATTATCCATTCAACTAGCTGATGCAGAGTATTTTATGTGGATTAACGTCCCCCTTCCCCAAGTGCACTTCAAGAAATTACGGGGATTCAGTGATGGAAAGGAGGAAAGCAGAACAATTTAAGAGCAGTAGCATGTTCAGATGGTATCAGTTGCCAAAGCTCAGTTTTGGACAGAAGCATGAAAGCTAAGTCTCCAGAGTTCCTGGCATCCCTAATGTTGAGGTGAATACCCCACGTGTGGAGACACGAGGTTTGACTCAATTTTTTTCAGAAGGCTGATTTATTATCTTATATATTATACTAAAATGCGGATATCATTTTAGTAGATGCAAGATATCACAGTTTATTAAAAAAAAATTTGTGAACGTAAAATTTTTGTGCTGATACATGAAAAAAATCCTGTGGCCTTTAGGAAATCCTGTTTATCTAAACCGTTTTGTTCTTTTTCTTTTTTTTTTTTTTTTTTTTTCAGCTACTTTTGCTATATGTTACATCTAAATGGATTATAATAGAAGGAAATTCAATTACTTTGGTCCTCCTTGGCAGAACTTGTTGTAGCTGTCAGTCCTGCTGCATTACACTTACAGCCACAGTGGCATTTTGTGCTGTGCAATGCAGCACTCTGCAGAAACACCCGAGGCAGTGCTGAATTAGCTGGCTTGGGAGCTGCACAGGTGGGAACACTGCCAGGGCAAGTGGGGTACCACTGGCCCCAGCTATGCAAACCACTAACTCACACGTAGTTTGGGAATATCTAAGCCACACCATATTGTGCAGGGTGGACATAAATTTTTAAGACACTTGAATAACAAATAATGGTACAGTTCCATTCTCCTCTCCTGTTGCTTTACTTTTTTTTCTTTCTTTTGACCTGCATTAATTTTATAGGTGAATGCTACCTGGGTTAATGCTAAAAGGGGTGAAGGGAACTTAAAATTTTTGCCGTCCCCTTCCCTCATCTAGTACATCTTATATTTTCTCAAATGTTTTTAACATCAGTAATGAATTCTTTTCCATAACTACAGAATAAATAACCCATTAAAAATATAATGCCATTATAGCCCCAAGAAACTTGGCAGAAGAAGCTTAAGTAGCTTAAACCCTTTTTGTAAGCCAATGAGATATCAAATTGATGGAGTTCTAGCAAAGTTATCAAATAAATTACCCATGTGCAAGCCACTGCTTTCTCCTCCCACTTTCAGGTGTGTACCAGGGCAACTCCAAAGACTAAGCTCATGCGCAAATGTCGGAAGGATTCTACATATGAGTGAGAAAACTAAAAAGAAAATATTCATTGCTGAGAAATGAACTCAGAAAACAGCTGTAACTCAGATTTTAAACAGCATTTCATGAAAGCAGAGTATAGAGCACTACCACTTTGGGGAATCACAAAGTAGAGGAACTCTTGACTTAATGCTAAGAGCAACTATTCCAACTCAATGTACTTTTTTCACCTTTCTAGGTTTATTTGAAAATTAATTAGTATACTGGATAGTAGTCATCTTTTAAAATTGCCCAAATCTAGTCCGTCAAGTGCTCAGAAAGCAATGAGAAACATTTAATGATCATATTTATTAAAAAATTATTTACCTACTTTTTGGAACAACAGTGCTCAATTTTACTTATTTTCTTCTTTGATTTATTAAATAATTTCACTCAGAAGAAAGGTTACTTTAGAAAAGTACCTAGCCCTGATTTGAAGATAGCAACATTTTGAAAGCTTTATGTTCAGCTAAACTGCTCTTTTTCCAATTTCTTATTCTACAGATGAGGAAATAAAACTTTGCAACATGGCAAATTAATGATGCCAGAGAAAACACAGTCCTCCTTCAAACAGTAATTTCATGCACATACAAGTTGCTAGGATTTAGCAAAAATAATTATAAAATTTTGATGGACTGGATGTTATTCATATTCTGGGTACCAAAATCTTGAAATACATATTGTTAGCCTTCAGAATTAGAATGCAATTACTGTATTTGCTAAAATTTTAGGTTGCCCAGCCACTTCAGAACACTGTGTATACAATTTTGGCTAATAAACCAGCACAAAGCATGTCAGAAAGGTGATGCACAATTTACTAAAGACAGAATATGTTACGTTTCCCTTGCATCCTGCTAATTTCATTGGAAAAGAGGTGGTGTGGATGCCTGGAGCCTTTCTTTAGCTGTGCAAATATACAATTGCTGCATTTCAAAATGACTTTAGGGGCTGGCAAGCTAAGAAAACTTTCAAAGGCGTAAGAAAAATATAGAAGACTTTTTCAGTTTCTATGGGTCGTATTAAAAGTATGATTCCCATCAATTTAGAGGGCATTGTCCCTTATTATCCATTTATCATTTCTGAGACAGTAGGAGACTATACATTCCAGAAAACTAGTAACATCTTTCTAAATTCTCCCACCTCCTTTGGCTGGACATCACTTGAGATCTAAGATTATGTGAAGAAACTTGAACTCCCTTATACTGGCAACTTAGGAGAAGGTTAAAAACATATGGATTACCAAAAATGCTTTAAAATTCTCATTGTATTCATCCTAGGTCTGGATTGTGCTCTTCTCTTTCTCTATCAGCTTTACATGAAGGAAAAGTTGAATCTCAGATGCCTTGGAGATTCAAGGTAACTTCTCCATTTCAGAATGTATTGTGCACTATGATCACTGCTCAACTTACCTGTAGATGCAGATAAAAATTAGTTATTTCCTGGAAAAATAAATTCACTTGGAAAAAAATCTGTATCAGTCAAACAAACAATAAGTCTGCTATGAAATCAAAAAAATTGGTAGCAAAACACAACAGTGCTTGAAAAAAATTTCCAATGCTACTGATGAACCTCAAGGGTTTGGGGCTTTTTTTAGTAAAAAACTGATCCCAGGTAGGAGATCTAGGCAGCTAGGAATCCATCAAATGTTTTAAAATCTACAATAATCTGAGATGTATTGACTTCTAAACCTGGCTATAAACATCAAAGGGAAAATTACTTAACAATATGCTATATATGATCTTTGAGTTCTGAGAAAGATGAAATTAACTGGAAAACCAACTAGTAATTCGCATACAAGATGTCCCTTAAACACATCTGCCGTGATCTATCACATTTAAAAGCAAAGTAGACAAAGTACACAAGTAATCACAGAAATCTCTGAACTGTATTTGTAGGTAAGACCTCAGTGTGACTCTGAAGAACAAACAAGTCTTGAAAGTGGTCCTTGGAAGAGATCCAGAGAATTACCAGCGCACTTTTGGAGTGACAGCAATGTGGATTTAACTACAGTACCTTCTGGGGCAATGAGAAAAGGGGACTTTCCAGTATATATACTTATAGTCCAGTGTGTGTGCGTGCTTCCCAGGTATACACACCTGTATACATATATTCCCACATTTTCAAGCTGGCAACAGGACATTTATATTCTTCTTAGAGAAAACAAGGACCAGGAAGGTCTACAAAGCCCTTAACAGATATAAAATGCAGACCTGGGTTTGGATCACACTCCCAAGCCACTGCGACAGTGACTAACCCTAAATGACACGGCAGCGAGCCTGGGAAGGACCCGCCGTCCCGCAGCCTCCGACCAGGAGCGGGAAGCGACCGCACACCAGGTACCTGTGCCGGTACTTCTACGGAGAAGGGGCCTGGGGCAGGAGGGGCTGGGACAGGGTCAGGGGCTGGGACTGGGCCTGGGGCTGGGACCGGGGTTGGGGCAGGGGCTGGGGCAGGGGTAGGCGCTGGCGCTGGGGCTGGGGGCGGTGCGGGGGCGGTTCCTCCCCGGGGGAAGCAGATAAAGGCAGGGCGCGGGCAGTGGGGAGCTGGTGGAGGGCAGTCGCGGAGCTGGGCTTGTGTCCCTCGCTGACCGGCCGGCATCGCCCTGCCCTGAGCGCTTCTCGGAGCCAGCCGGCAGCGGGGCAGCGCCATGGGGGCCGGAGGAGGGCTGGGGCTGGCGGCTGTGCTGGCGGCCGCGGTGCTGTGCGGGCCCGGGGCGCTCGCCGGGCGCGTCCTCAGCGGTGAGTGCGCGGTGCGGGGCCGGGCGGGAGCGCAGCGCTCCGGGAGCGGCGCGGGGCGGGCCCGGGACCGAGCCCGCTCTGCAGACCACCCGAGCATCGACGGCGAGCGCTGGGAGCGCCTCCCGGGCGCGCGTGCCCCGCGGCGGAGCGGGGATGCTGCGGGGAACGCGGGGGCTGAGCACCCCGGGGGGCTGCGGGCTCCGGCGGCAGCCCCGAGCCCTGTCCTGCCGAGCCCTGTCCTGCCGAGCCTGTCCTGCCCCGTCTTCCCGGAGCTGGTTCATTGCCGGCGCTCTCCGTCGCCTTCGAATCGCTTTAAAAAGATCGAGCGTCTTCCCGAGGATGGTCTGTGCGCTGGGTTTTGTTGGCAGCTGGACAGCGGTATTTCTTCTTTGTCTGAGATGTTGTTAGGAGGAGAGGGCAAACTTTTAAGAGCGTGCGGTATGAAAGAGTTTTGTTGTGTGTGGGTGCCACACCAACTCTCAAAGCCAAAAGGAAGACAATACTTTAGAAGGCTGTATCTAACCTTGGAGCTTAGGTTTGGTTTCAGAGCTGTAGACTCCCACTGTGTGTTTGCAGTTTACAGGTGCATATGCTCAGAAACTGCTAAATTTAATGAAAATTAAATTTTCCCTTTTAAGTTTACTTTGTTTCAGACCCTCCAGACTAAAGCTGACAGGCTCCTGGGGATATATTGCATGTGCCTTCTGGGGATATGTTGCATGTGCCTATAGATCCGTGCATTTGCTTGGAAACAAAAATTTGCACACTCCACTCTGCTTGTTAGCAAGTTGTGTGTGTATATGTGGGTAAGAACGTGGTTCTTACAAACTGTCTCCAGAACAATGTGTATTATTTTTATGCTGTTGTTTCAGAGGCTGTAGCAGTAGCATATCAACAAAACTTTTTTTGTAGGTTATTTTTTTTGTTGCAAGCATTTGATTGCTGAATTCAGATAACTTAGTTGTTGAGGGAGGACAGTCACTGGATCATTTTGATCATGCTCTGTTTGAAGCATGTTCTAATGCTGCAGCTGAGATGGGCTCTTTGGGTTTTGGTAAAACAGTATCTTCAGGAAATAATAGCTAAGTAGCAGTACTTCCAAGACTGAAAAAGCTTGTTTGCCTGAACAGTAACCTGAAATACATACTGTGAATTATACTGGCTCATATGATACATCAAAGCTCTAAGCATTACAATTTATATGACTGCTATGTAACACTGGTTTTTTTTAAGGAACAGTGAAGATTAATTATCTATGTTATGTGTTTGGCATTAGCAGTCTCAGTGCAGGAATCTATGTGTGGCTGAGGAAACCCATTCTCTTAATCTTCCAGCTACAGCTTCTGTGTTTAACTGAGACATAGGAAACTGAGGTCCAGCTTTTAAAGCCATGTGCGATATGTGTATACTGCCTTGTCAGACTGTTCCTAGATGCACATTAGGCTTTGAGGATTTTTGAGAGGACACAGCCTCTGCCCCATATTTCCCTGAAGCAAATCAAACCATTTGATGAGCCTCGTGTCACTGTATTATGCTGATATTACTTGTCTGGTAGAATACAGGAGAGGGTTTGAAGCCACTTACAGAAAGAACCATTTATGTACTGTTAGTTTATTGGTTGAAATTGTATTCCTTAGATAAAGGTTTCCTAGACAATAGCAACCACATTTATTTATTTATGCTTACTGAAGGTATCTTATGTACTGGAAGAACTTTTTTCCCCCCCTTTCTTTCTCTCAAGGACCACACCCATATTCTGGCACATGCACATGGATAGGTGTAGTACTAGCAGTAGCTGACATTATTTTAGGCAAGAAGTAGTACCATTGAATAATTGGGCAGTATGTGCTGTCATCTGACTCCCATCTAGCTTACCTGTCTTGTATAAGAACTAGCAGTTTGGACTTAAGCAAGTGTATGTTTGAAATCATAAGTCTATATCTTAAACCAACCTATTCCTAAAAAAATTGCTTATGCTTCAGTCATGATTAATAATCTGGCATAGTAGGAAATTCCACTGCTCTCATTCCAAATAAATATATAGTTCCTATGACTCACCTAAGCTGTTTGTGAGACTGCTTGAGTGCTGGTTGGACCTTGTGAAGAGTCCCATTGACTGCAGTAAGTTTGCAGCAGACCTAGCAATAACTGCAAGTTTGCTACAATTTTGATCACCGTGTCAAGAGGACAGAGAAGAAAAGGCCTGCCTTTTCAAAAGGCCATTTTTTTAAGTAAAGGGTTTCTGTTGCTTTTTCCAAGTATGTTAGTTTTCCTAGGATATAATTAAAACTATTGTTGGCATCAAACAATTTGCATTTTGGTGTTATTTCTTTGCCATCTTTAATTTGGACAGTTTTAAACAGTGATGCAAAATGCTTTTTGATTTTTAATATATCTAGACAGATGTTTTGTGAGCAGTGCTCACAGCTTCCATATCCAACTATCTGTTGCCAGAGAATTGATTCCTATAGGAAAAAAACCCAAAGCAGTCTCAGGAGAAAATGCTGAGTCTGCCTTGCTGTCCCATGACATCATAAAGAACATGAAGTGATGATAATGCAGTTTGCAAAGATGCAATTACTTTAAGTATCTATTGGGCAGGAGAGATGCAAGCTAATCTTATTACTAATCATTTAACAGCCTATGTATTAATCATAGATATTATAGCTTAATGACTGCTGTTTATCTAGTTGTATTTCTACGGCTTTTAAAGTTTTGCTCTTTGCTATTGCTGTGCATCAATAGCAGATTAAATAGTGATGTAGTATTTTAAAGCAGTATGTATCTATTTTGGTGCAAAAGTACTTGGATGTATAAAACACTAAATGAGCAAAAACACTTGATGAGTCAGGAAAGCACCAGAGTTGACCCTAAACTACAGACTGTTGCTTCAGATGCCTTTAAGGAAGTGGATATGTTCATTCATATGGCTTGTGATCAGATTTGAGTTCTGCATAAAGTACTGCAGAGTAAGAGAATTAAAGCAATGTCTTCATGGATACTGAATTGACTAGAGATAACAAACCCTTTCTCAAAAGATGCATAATTTAATTTAATTTGGTTGGCCTGCTTATTACACCTGAGTTTTGTCTGTCAAAGTGCAAGCATTTTCTCTAGATGAAACCTTCTGCTGTAAAGTTGTGTGTTTTTTTTTTTTTTTTGTGTGTGCGAACTGTAAATTTCAAGATACATATGCAGCTCAGAATTTGAAAAGATATAACCTGATAAAAAACCTACATGTGCAACAGGTGTATGTTAAACATATTTTGTTGGAAATATCCAGCATTTAGTTTCATACTGCAAAAGCTTTTCTTGGGTAGGTATGCCCAGATAGTACAAGAGCCTTTTGCTCAGCTGAAGGTCTCAGTAATCACTAAAGCTGAGACGTGGAGAAGTGCAGGAGAAGCTGGGCATTGAATTCCCATGGACTCCTTTATTATTTCTTCTCCTTTTCCAGCTATACTGAGCACTGTCTTCTTGGGGGCAAATCAATGAGCTGGGCTCTTAGAGTGAAATGAGGTGATGATTTTGGATATAATACATGTTTCTGCTAAACACCTTGCTGCAAACCAAGAAATTCCACAATACCCTGTGGAATGAGAACCCTGTTTTGATGAGACGTCTGATGGTGGAGGAGTCCTTCTGTAGCAGGGTAGAAATATCCAAGTACTTAAATCAGTTTCTAGAGTCAGATTTCAGTATTAGAGGTGACACCCCCCCTTTTTATAGGTTACCTTTGCCATGAGAGAGAGTTGTGCGGGTTGGCCAGGCTGCAGTTCTGTTCAGGGATAAGGAAAAGGATGTGGAAAATCCTAGTGCTGTGCCTCAGACCAGCATGCTGCTTTCCCAGGAATACAGTTTTTTGCTCACAGCATTTTTTTCAAAAATAGAAAGGCATTGCTAAGCTCAAAGCCATGTCAAGTCCCAGTATTCCACTTGGCTAAAGAGCCCAAGAGGAAGTGCCTGCCATGGAGGGTGCTGTGGTAAAAACCTTGTGGAATGGTATGGACAATCTGCTTGCTTTCATATGGCTTTTCTTGCTCCCAGAGGGAGAAAGCTGGGCTCTTACCTGGTTGAACTTGTGTTCTCTACCTTGATTTTAACTCTGTAGGTCAGGTCTGATCCTATGTAGATAAAACTTCTTGATTATAAGATGTTTGCAGGGGAACATGCTTTGGTTCATAAAGGGTTCTGTACAGCATTATTTTTCTGAAGCTAATTCCCATAATGGCTTTCTCTTTGCAAATCTCTGATGGATCAGAAAAGACAGTAGATGCCAATGTACAATAGGTAAGATGAAACAATCCTTTGATTGTAATTGCTACACTCTAATCCCATACTCTTACCTCTCACTCACTAGTTGGAAGTTGAGTCTCGCTGAAGCAGTCCCTCCTGCCACTTCTGACAAACAGTGGGACCTTCGGTTCTGACCAATCTTAAGAAATAATGAATCCTAACCAAAAAGCTGGCATGCCTCTAAGTAAATCTGAATCTACCTGCTGTATCCAGCTAATGAGTCCAGGCTCACTTTATAAGAAGGGAAGGAAAAAACTTGGTATTTTAAGAGTGGGCTTAATTTCATTTAAATTTGGATTTTGAATATACTGCAGATCTGTGCTAAGAGATGCTGCTATCTGTGTTTGTTTTGTTCAGTTGTCTGCACAGTGAGGTCAGTGAATCAGTTTAGGTATGGACACATTATTGGGAAGAACTTACTTGGTGAGATGAATCCCACACTGTATCTCAAGGACTACATGTAACGTGAATTAACCAGTGATGCTTTACCTCTGAATTTTCTTTTAGTGTAAATTATCCTTTAAAATATTCTAACAGACTTCTCCTCCTCTCAAACTTCCCCTCAATTTTTTCCTTAAGTGAACTGTCACCAATTTTGGGATTCCATGTGGACTGGCTTTTCCCACTTTCTTAGGAGCAGGTGAATGAGCAAGGCTTTGCTTGTTGCTTTCTCTTTTAATTGTGGAACTACCACAAAAAGAAAGCACTCTACACTCCTGTACTGAAATGCATAAAGGGTGTTACATCCTAGGAAGCTCTTAAACCAAAGAAATCAATATAATTTGCACCCATATATATTACCTGCATCTATTGCAAATACTTTGGTAACAAATTCATGGAACTACACCTACCTGGAAAAAAGGCATTCAAATTTCACTGAAAATTATTGAGAATGGATAATGCTTGCTATGAAAAATAATTTAGGAGTATATTTTCTCTCTTCTCATTTTTTATTCATTTAATTGACATAGGGGGGTTCTGCTGACTGGGGAGATTTGTATTGACTGTCAGGAAAATGTTCTTCACCCAGAGGGTGGTTGGGCACAGGAACAGACTCCCCAGGGAGGTGGTCACAGCACTAA